AAAAGGCATATGATGAGTGGATAGAGGGGAATGTGGCAGATGTTGCAAGTATGGAATAGGTGGTTAAGTTATTAAATGCGTAAAGAGTTTTTATGAGGATAGTGAGGCTCAGGTTAGGGTGTGTAGAAGAGAGGGAGACTACTTCCCGGTAAAAGTAGGTCTTAGACAGGGATGTGTAATGTCACCTGGTTGTTTAATATATTTATAGATGGGGTTGTAAAGGAAGTAAATGCTAGGGTGTTTGGGAGAGGGGTGGGATTAAATTATGGGGAATCAAATTCAAAATGGGAATTGACACAGTTACTTTTTGCTGATGATACTGTGCTTATGGGAGATTCTAAAGAAAAATTGCAAAGGTTAGTGGATGAGTTTTGGGAATGTGTGTTAAAGGTAGAAAGTTGAAAGTGAACATAGAAAAGAGTAGGTGATGAGGGTATCAAATGATTTAGATAAAGAAAAATTGGATATCAAATTGGGAGGAGGAGTATGGAAGAAGTGAATGTTTTCAGATACTTGGGAGTTGACGTGTCGGCGGATGGATTTATGAAGGATGAGGTTAATCATAGAATTGATGAGGGAAAAAAAGGTGAGTGGTGCGTTGAGGTATATGTGGAGTCAAAAAACGTTATCTATGGAGGCAAAGAAGGGAATGTATGAAAGTATAGTAGTACCAACACTCTTATATGGGTGTGAAGCTTGGGTGGTAAATGCAGCAGCGAGGAAACGGTTGGAGGCAGTGGAGATGTCCTGTTTAAGGGCAATGTGTGGTGTAAATATTATGCAGAAAATTCGGAGTGTGGAAATTAGGAGAAGGTGTGGAGTTAATAAAAGTATTAGTCAGAGGGCAGAAGAGGGGTTGTTGAGGTGGTTTGGTCATTTAGAGAGAATGGATCAAAGTAGAATGACATGGAAAGCATATAAATCTATAGGGGAAGGAAGGCGGGGTAGGGGTCGTCCTCGAAAGGGTTGGAGAGAGGGGGTAAAGGAGGTTTTGTGGGCAAGGGGCTTGGACTTCCAGCAAGCGTGCGTGAGCGTGTTTAGATAGGAGTGAATGGAGACGAATGGTACTTGGGACTTGACGAATCTGTTGGAGTGTGAGCAGGGTAATATTTAGTGAAGGGATTCAGGGAAAACCGGTTATTTTCATATAGTCGGACTTGAGTCCTGGAAATGGGAAGTACAATGCCCGCACTTTAAAGGAGGGGTTTTGGGATATTTGGGAGTTTGGAGGGATATGTTGTGTATCTTTATATGTGTATGCTTCTAGACTGTTGTATTTCTGAGCACCTCTGCAAAAACAGTGATAATGTGCGAGTGTGGTGAAAGTGTTGAATGATGATGAAAGTATTTTCTTTTTGGGGATTTTCTTTCTTTTTTGGGTCACCCTGCCTCGGTGGGAGACGGCCCGACTTGTTGAAAAAAAAAAAAAAAAATCAGTCTGTAGTGGAAGGAAGGCGGGGTAGGGGTTTTCAGCCTAGGAAAGGTTGGAGGGAGGGGGGTAAAGGAGGTTTTGTGTGCGAGGGGCTTGGACTTCCAGCAGGCATCCCGTTGAGCGTGTTTGATAGGAGTGAATGGAGACAAATGGTTTTTTTTAATACTTGATGTGCTGTTAGAGTGTGAGCCAAAGTAACATTTATGAAGGGGTTTGGGAAACCGGCAGGCCGGACTTGAGTCCTGGAGATGGGAAGTACAGTGCCTGCATTTTGAAGGGGGGGGTGTTAATGTCGCAGTTTAAAAACTGTAGTGTAAAGCACCCTTCTGGCAAGATAGTGATGGAGTGAATGATGGTGAAAGTTTTTCTTTTTCGGGCCACCCTGCCTTGGTGGGAATCGGCCAGTGTGATAATAAATAAAATAAAGGCAGTATATTTTGGTTAGGTAGGTGATCTGTAATAGGTGTAAATTAACATTAATGGTATTGATAAAAATAATGTGCAAATGCACGAGGAATATTTGTACAAGGAAACCTCTGTAAATTCAAAGTGGTTGCATGGAGGAGTTTTTTTTTTTTTTTTTTAATGGCCCATCTGAATAGTGGGAGAAAATCTATTGAAAATGGGGAAAATGTAAATGTTGCATGTTATTCATTTTTTATATTACCTTTGCATTTTTCAGGGTGTTGATAATACAGCACATACTGCTTGACTGCACTTTTAATTGTGATTATAATGAATGCTGTTTAACTGTACGTACTTTTGTAATGATATTGGTAGAATTACCAATAATATGTTAGGTAAAAGGACACATGTGCAGCTAATGTGATGTTTTTATTGTGGCAACATTTTGTTCTCCAGGAGCTTTGTCAAACTGTTATGACAAAAATCCTGGAGGGCAAAACTTGGCCACAATAAAAATGTCGCACACGTTGCACATGACCTTTTACCTAACAGACTGTACTTTTAATGGTGATTATAATCAGTGCTGTTTGCACTTTTCAGGGTGATTATAATAAATATTGTATGGCCATGAAAACTGCCATACAGAAAGTGTGGGATCAAGAGTGTGGCAAAACTACACAAAGACTACACCAGATGTCGAAAAATCTTGAAAAGTCTGGTGTTAATAAACTAGACGAAAAGCCCCTAGACACTATAGTAATCCCAACTTTACAAATGGGACCTTTTGATATTGTGAGCGATAGCACAATGACCAAAAAGTTCTTGACTTCAGCCGAGAATAATTCAAGAATTCAGTTAGCATCAGGCTACTTCAACTTAACAGAAGAATACATGAAAAGTATTCTTCAGGGGTCTGAAGCTTTATATAGTATTCTCATGGCTCATCCCAAAGTAAGATGTGTTTTAATTCTTTTTTACATTGCATTTTTTGTATCATGATGAAACACTATTTGGTAGTTGTGAAGAAAAGATATATTTGCAGAAAATAACTTCGTAACTTCTGTATGACTTCATAAAAATTTTAACAGCTGTAAATGTTGTCCCAATAAAACCTCGTTCAGCTAATATGTCTTGTCTTCACACAGTAAATGAAGATAGACAGGTTTTGCATATGTCTTATTCATCATGATGGTATTGTGAACCATTAAGATAGTGATTGTGAACCATTAAGATAGTGATTGTGAACTATTAAGATAGTGATTGTGAACCATTAAGATAGTGATTGTGAACTATTAAGATAGTGATTATGAACCATTAAAATAGTGATTGTGAACCATTAAGATAGTGATGCTTTTTTTTAACAACTCTTGGCAGTATGCCAGTTGGATTCTTTTAAAAGATCAACCATTATTTGTGTATTCGTATATAAAAGTTAATTTTTCATGTTTACCTTAAAAAAAACTGCTGGTTCCTTGTTTACTGTGAAAAATTACTGCATGTGCTTATAAAAATTGCTTATATTAAGTAATGCACCTTTTATTCCATATCTCTTCAGTAAAATGGATTAAATATAATTTTAGTATAGTCAGTATATATACATTTAATATGGAATTCTATAGTGAAGTATCCTGCAAGTCTTGATAAATATAAACAATGTGTCAAATATTCAAGAATCCTTTATTGAATATTCTAAGTTTTCTGCATAGAAAAAATGGCTTAGCAGAAAAATAGCTTATGTGGCATTGTATGAAGTAGAAATATTAACAGAGTAAAGAATAATATATAAATTTGTATAGATGGAGTTCAGAACCCTTAAAATATTAATGGATAAAACTACAGTGAAACTGCATGAACATATAGAACATGTTGAAAATGACAGCCAAGGGGAAAATGGACAGTTGTGTTTTTTCACTGCATTCAGTTAGAAATGAGGTACGTTGTGGGTAAATAATAAGAAGTTCAGTTTGACAAAGCATTTATAGCTACACTTCCACAATGACAAAGCATTTATGGCTGGACATTTCCATATAATTCATTTGATAGCTAATAAATTTTTTAATGTGCTACCCATCTCCCACCACAGCAGGGTGACCTGAAAAGGAAGAGAGACATTCATAGAGTTTTTCTTCTTCATACATTTAGTAATAATCATATATTTAATGATATTTTACTATCTCACCAGGCTAATGGATTCCTTGGGGCTAGTGGATTTGCTGGAGCCATCCCGGCTGCTTACACACAACTTGCAAAGTTGTTCTTTGAGAGGTTACAGAAAGGAAGGCAGAGTAAACGCATCACCATGTTCGAGTATCAGCGACCAAGTTGGACATTCCATGCCAAAGGACTGTGGTATTACCAACCTTATCAGTCCTTGCCTTTGCTCACTATGATTGGCTCCCCAAACTTTGGTAAGTGTCAATATTTTGACACTTGAGAGGTAGGACTACATGTCAAGACAGAAATACAGAACAGAGGTTATCTGTAGGTTACAGTCTCCAGTTGAAGTCTTTAGTGGATTGAAGACAACCCTCATTTAGAATTTAGAATTTGAGTGAGATGAAAGTGTTGAATGATGATGAAAGTATTTTCTTTCTTTTTGGGTCACCCTGCCTCGGTGGGAGACTGCCGACTTGTTGAAAAAAAATATATATATACTACAGTATATATATACACAACTTTTTTTGTGTGTTTCTAGCTCCATGTGGGTTCCTTCATTTGTGGTATGTGTTTTATGCTAATGTTATTATAATTTATATATAGAGGAGAGAGAGAGATTTTGGGAAATGTTGAGTGAATGCGTGGGGAGTTTTGAACCAAGTGTGAGAGTAATAGTGGTTGGGGATTTCAACGCTAAAGTGGGCAAAAATGTTGTGGAGGGAGTAGTAGGTAAATTTAGGGTGCCAGAGGTAAATGAAAATGGGGAGCCTTTAATTGAGCTATGTGTAGAAAGAGGTTTGGTAATAAGTAATACATATTTTATGAAAAAGAGGATAAATAAATATTCAAGGTATGATGTAGCACGTAATGAAAGTAGTTTGTTAGATTATGTATTGGTGGAAAAAAGGGTTTGATGGGTAGGCTCAAGATGTACCGTTTATGGAGGGGGCAATGATATATTGGATCATTATTTGTTGTAGCTAAAGTTAGAGTAAGAGGTAGATGGGAAATGAGGAAAATGGCAACAACAAGTAAGAGGGAGGTAAAAAGTGTATAAACAAAGGGGAGGAGGAAGTTAGGTGGATATAAGCAAATATGGCAAAAAGGGTAGACTGGTGCAAGTATGAGCAGGGGGGGGGGGGGGGTTTGAAGAGTGTTGAATAGTTTTAAAATGCAGTATTAGATGTGGGGCAAAAGTTTGTGGTTATAGGAGGGTGGGAGCAGGGAGGAAAGAGGAGTGATTGGTGGAATGAGAAGTAAAGGTTGTGTTTAAAAGGGAAAAGTTAGCTTATGAGAGGTTTTCCCAAAGCAGAAGCGTTATAAAAAGAGTAGAGTATATGGAGAGTAAAAGAAAGGTGAAGAGAGTGGTGAGAGAGTGCAAAGGAGAGCGGGATGATGAGTGGGAGAGGCACTGTCAGAAATTTTAAGGGAAATTAGAAAAAATTTTGGAGCAGTTAAAAACTTAAGAAACCCTAGGGAAAAAATGGATTGTCAGTTAGATGGCGAGAATTTTTGAGGCCCTTTTAAATGTCAACGAAGGGAGGCGGTAATTTCATGCACTGGACGGGAGGTATACTTTTCTTTTAGGAGTGAAGAAGAAACAGGATGTGAGTGGGGGGGAAAGGGTGCGTGAGGCATTACGTGGGAATGAAAGGGGGTTAAAGCAGCTGGAACTGATGGGATCATGACAGAAATATTAAAAGCAGGGGGGGATATAGTGTTGGAGTGGTTGGTATTTTTGTTTAATAAATGTACGAAAAAAGGGGAAGGGTTTACCTAGAGATTGGCAGAGGGGATGTATAGTCCCTTTATTATAAAGGGAAGGGGGACAAAAGAGATTGTAAAAATTATAGAGGAAAAAATTTTAAACTGAGTATACCGGAAAAGTGTATGGTAGGGTTATAATTGAACGAATTAGAGGTAAGACAGAATGTAGGATTACAGATGGCAAGGAGGTTTTAGATCAGGTAGGGATGTGTAGATCAAGTGTTTACATTGAAGCATATATTTGAACAGTATTTAGTAAAGGTTTAGGGAAGTTTTTATTGCATTTATGGATTAGAAAAGCATATGATAGGTGGATAGGGGGAGCATGTAGCAGATGTTGCAAGTATTTGGAATAGGTGGTAAGTTACTAAATGCTGAAAAGAGTTTTATGAGGATAGTGAGGCTCAGGTTAGGGTGTGTAGAAGGAGGGAGACTATTTCCCCGGGGTTAAAAGTAGGTCTTGACAGGGATGTGTAATGTCCCCATGGTTGTTTAATATATTTATAGATGGGTTGTAAAAGAAGTAAATGTAGGGTGTTCGGGAGAGGGGTGGGTTTTAAATTAGGGGGAATCAAATACAAAATGGGAATTGACACAGTTGTTTTTTTGCTGATGATACTGTGCTTTGGGAAATTCTAAAGAAAAATTGCAAAGGTTAGTAGACGAGTTTGGGAGTGTGTGTAAAGGTAGAAGAAAGTTGAAAGTGAACATAGAAAGGTAAGGTGATGAGGGTATCAAATGATTTAGATAAAGAAAAATTGGAAAATCAAATTGGGGAGGAGGAGTAGGGAAGAAGTGAATGTTTTCAGATATTGGGATTTGATGTGTCGGGGGAAATGGATTTATGAAGGATGGGTTAATCTTTGAATTGATAAGGGAAAAAAAAGGTGAGTGGTGCATTTGAGGTATATGTGGAGACAAAAAACTAATTATCTATGGAGGCAAAGAAGGGAATGTAGGGAAAAGTATATAGTACCAACACTCTTATATGGGTGTGAAGGCTTGGGTTGTAAATGCAGCAGCGAGGAGGTGGTTGGAGGCAGTGGAGATGTCCTGTCTTAGGTCTATGTATGGTGTAAATATTATGTAGAAAATTCGGAGTTTTGGAAAAATTGGGAAAAGGTGTGGAGTTAATAAAAGTATTAGAGGGCTGAAGAGGGGTTGTTGAGGTGTTTGGGTCATTTAAAAGAGAATGGATCAAAGTTAGAATGACATGGAGAGCATTTAAATCTGTGGGGGAAAGGGAAGGCGGGGTGGGGGTTTCGTCTCGAAAAGGTTGGAAGGAAGTGGTAAGGGAGGTTTTGTGGCGAGGGGCTTGACTTCCAGCAGGCGTGTGGGGAGCGTGTTCGATAGGAGTGAATGGAGACGAATGGTATTTGGGCCCCTGACGATCTGTTCGAGTGTGGCAGGGTAATATTTAGTGAAGGGATTCAGAGAAACCGGTTATTTTTATATAGCAGACTTGAGTCCTGGAAATGGGAAGTACAATGCCTGCATCTAAAGGAGGGGTTCGGGTATTGACGGTTTGGAGGGATATGTTGTGTTTCTTTATATGTATATGCTTCTAAGCTGTTGTTGTTTTGAGAAACCTCTGCAAAACCAGTGTTTTATGTGTGGATGAGGTATTTTCTTTTTGGGGATTTTCTTTCTTTTTGGGTCACCCTGCCTTGGTGGGAGATGGCCAACTCGTTAAAAAAAAAAATAAAAAAAAAAATTTTATTTGCCTCTTTAGTGCTGAAAACACAATCCCTTCAGGATAAAACTATTATTACTCAGTCATAAAGAGGTTAAAGATAGAGAAAAATATAAACTGTTTATAGTATACAGTACTGTACAATATTAAAATGTTTCCTTACTGTGTTTATTTAGACGATTTGTAAGGTAGGCAAAAAATTCACTATTTTTCAGTGGTTGTTTTGCATATGTTATATCACCTGTTTACTGTGATCTTTATTTATTTATGTCTGCAAATAGTACATTGAGATTTTGTATTTATAAAAATTGGGTTGCAATGCAAAGAGAGCCTCTATTATGCTTGGGTTTATTATGGGCCTCTCTTATTCCTATAGTTTTAACATTAGCTTTAACATATTAATTCTTTACTCACATAGGTTGGCGATCTGTGAATAGGGATTTAGAGAGCCAGGTGGTTGTGGCGCCCCAAAGCTTTGCCTCAGAGAGACTGCATCAAGAGCAAGAGCATTTATATGGCAGTTCAAGTCAGGTAACTCAACAAACCTTCACTACTCAAGACCGGTGGTTCCTTACTGGGTACGATTTGTAATGCCTGTAATTAAAGTCTTTTTCTAACGATTCATCAGCCGTGTTATAAAGTTTTTAATATATATATATTGTTTGCACCTAAGATGGGAAATTTTTTTATTAAGAATTTCTTAAATTTGTATATAAAACTATCCCGTAAATTTTCAGATTAAATTTTTTCTTAGAGTTTTATTTTCCTTTTTTTTACAGTCTTGTCAAATAAAATTCTTTTAAGACAAAAGGCACAATACCATGACTGGAACATATACATAATCACTGGGCCCGTGGTTTATGCACTGGCCTGGGTTTTATGTCTCATCACCTTGGGCTCAAGCCCCACCCGTTCACTGGTTTGTTTGTAATCGTGTTATTATGATTTATTGTTTATGTGTTGGGTGCTCTTTCATGATTTACAAATGCAGTTAAATCAGAATATGCGCTGCATTCAGCTGCTAATTCCATACCCTTGTGCAGTGTGCATTTTGAAGCTTCTTATGTAGCTACATCAGAAGCTCTAAAAACCCGAGCTTCAGAAGCTCTAGAAACAGAGCTTCAGAATGGAGCTAAAGAAGCTCCAGAAACAGCACTTCAGAAAAGGATCTTCTGACGTAGGGTACATGGAGCCATCAACATCACTAGTGGTGGTATTACCAACAAAATAAAAAAAAATGGAAACCCTAACAACACCAATAAAGCCACACTGATACATTGAACACTAATAGAACCAACTATGGAAATATAGCAGTGCATTAATTTATTTTGATTTACACTAGTCTCTTGCATCAACTGTCATCCCTGGCCTCCCCTCACCCGATATCCTTCCCTCAGTTACCACCCCCTCTTTACCTATTTCCTATATATTCTTATGCAGTTAGTTTAAGATCTATCAGGAAACGGACAATGCTTTAAAAAACTCGTTTGGGTTTAGCGCTTTCTGTGATTAAAGTATAATTTTCCTTGATACCCGTGAAGGGATTTTCATCCCAAAGGGAACTGTACTTAACTTCCCTTTGGGTTTGTGCTTAATTTTATTTTATCATCATCTCCCTCATGGATCAAACTTGAATGCTTCCCATTCCTCGGTGCTAAATGCCCACGTGGGTTTAGTACTATTATGTATCTGTGCCTCTTTCAAGACAGTGACAGTGTAAATGATGGTGAAAGTGCCTTGGTGGGAGATGACCAGAGTGTTTAAAAAAAAATGTATAGCTGATTTTTATGAAAAAAAATATCATCACTGAGCTCATTTTACAGTTGATTACATTGAAAACTATGTTAATGAATATGCCAGGTGCTCGTTTTTATTTGCTATTTTAACCATGATTGAAAAGCACTCTACAGTAGTCTTTGGAATAATGGTAGAAAATTTCCGATATGTTGGGTGTTTAAAAAGGGCAAGTGTAACGATGTGACATTTTGTTGTGGCAATGTTTTGCTCTCCAGGAGCTTTGTCAAGCTGTAAAGGGTTGAGAAAGGAATGTTGCCACAATAAAATGGGCACATTAGTTACAAGTGTCCTTGTTTGGTGCAATCAAGCTCAGGAAAAGCATTGAATCTCGGTACATCTCTGCATTGGTTTACTGATTTAGAAGAGAACAATAACTAATAATAAAAGCAAGCATTTTCCTTTAAATTTAATCTTGAATTGATGCTTCATCCTGCAGGAAATTCATCTCCCCCTCTTTGACCACATCCTCCCTTGTTCTTGTTCTCAGGGATTGGAGTTTTATACTCTGTCTTCATATATGCATCAGTGAGACTGGTACGCAGTCTCTTCTCACAAATGCTGTCTCTGTTTAGCAGTGAACGACCTACATGGGTTTGCAGTGTGAGCAGGGTAACATTTATGAAGGAATTCAGGGAAATTGGGTATCTGGACTTGAGTCTGGTGGGGGAAAATTTCAGTGCTTGCACTCTGGAGGAGGGGTGGAGATATTTACAGTTTTAAACTGTTTGTATCAGTGCCCCTCTGAGCTTATCTTGGATATGATACAAATACATATTCATTATTCATAAATATTTACAAGTACGTACTGTATAGTGTAGTTGTTTTTCCTATAGTTTATAGTATGTATAGCAATATATTATACAGTGTAGTTGTTTTTCCTATAGCTTATAGTATGTATAGCATATCACCTTGTTTGGGTTCTTTGATGTTTGGGGTAGGTTTTAATATGTACTTCAAATTTTTTGAATCAAGACAAAATACCTTTCGTTTTGGGCCCGGTGCTGTAGACCTCTATGGGATTAGCACTCCCTGTGAATGTGATAATAATATTGTACGAGTTTTGTTGTGCGGCCTTTATGGGGGGCTTTGATGTTAGTGAATGGCTCTTGATCTAAGAAATTGGAGTTACCCCCCCCTTTGACCTACTTACAGGTTTAGTGTACTATAATTTGACCCCTACAGATATTTGTGCTTTCCCCTGACCTCTCAATTTAAGGTTCCTTAATGCTATCGAGGGGCTTTTGATCCAAGAAACGACTAATTATTTTCCCTTTTTGGATTTAAAGTAAACTACTGTCATTCAACACTTTTATATGACCTCTATTGTATGACCCTTAGGGGTTTAGGGCTTAGTTTGATTATAAGTAATAATCACCTCACTGCAGTACTCTCTTACCTGCACAATTTCAGCGCTTATTTAAAAATAACTAACACGCTGGCCATCTCCCACCGAGGCAAGGCGACCTGAAAAAGAAAACACTTTTACCATCACTCACCTATCACTGTCTTGCCAGATTTAGATTTTAGATTTTGCCACTGAAGTGGCTAGTTTATTGTGACCCTATATCCATCTGTGGACGGTAGTGTAGGGCATATGGATACACAAAAGGCTTAGGAACTAGGCAAAAAGGGTTAACAGGTGTTTCATATGGGGTTTTTTTTCTACGTATCTGCAGTTTGCTTATCTGTTACAAGCAAATTTAGGAATTTGTTTAAAATATCTAATATCCTATTTTCATTAATAAGATATTTGACATGTCACAGAGGTTATTATACTGTCTGTCTCTGTATTCCTCAATAAGTGGACAATTAAGCACATAGTGTTCAAGACAGTGACCATATGCCTGATCACATAATTTGCATTTAGTTTGATCATCATCTGTGTGTCTCCCAAACTGCCAGAAGTACTTGTAACCAAGCCTAAGCCTGGTCACTACATCAGTCAGTACTTGTAAACCAAGCTTAAGCCTGGCCACTACAACATCAGTCAGTACTTGTAACCAAGCCTAAGCCTGGCCACTACATCAGTCAGTACTTGTAAACCAAGCTTAAGCCTGGCCACTACAACATCAGTCAGTACTTGTAACCAAGCCTAAACCTGGCCACTACAACATGTCAGTACTTGTAACCAAGCCTAAGCCTGGCCACTACAACATCAGTCAATACTTGTAACCAAGCCTTAGCCTGGCCACTACAACATCAGTCAGTCTGTTCACGTTGCAAGTTGCTCCATAAACATACTTATCTACGTTCATGTTATCATAGTGGGTTATAGATCTACTCAGGTTTCTAACTGCATTCCTATAACAATCATTTTCATTATTTACTTCTCTCCTAATATTATTCCTAATGCTAGACACAGATATACCAAAGTTATATTCTACATCCTCCTGGGTACTCTTCTTGGATAACATATCAACTTTATCATGAAGGAGTAATCCTATGTGTGATGGGATCCATAGCAATTGTACATTAAGGCACAGAAATGGCAGTAAATATTAATAATAACGAAGGATGACCTTATCCTGTGATGCCCCTCAGGGAAGGTTCCTTGATGTTGGTGAGGGGTTCTAGATTTAGGGAATTGGATCTGTGCTCCAGTTCCCCGAATTAAGCCTGAATGCCTTCCACATCCCCCCCCCCCAGGCGCTGTATAATCCTACGGGTTTAGTGCTTCCCCTTGATTATAATAATAATAATAATTATCCTGTGATGGTGTATGACAGAAAAATCCTGTGAGATGGAGTATAAAAGGAAACTCTATGTGATGCATAATTAAAGGAAAACCATCCTGAGTGATGGAGTATTGGAAAATCATCCTTTACTGGAGTATGATGAGAAAGCTATTCTGCATGATGTCAGGAAAACCATCCTGTATGATGTATGCCAGGAAAACCTCCCATTATGTTCTTCTCTAATGTTAAGATACAGTCCCTGGACCCATTATATGCCTCTGTAAATTTGAGGTACAGTCCCTGTGCCTCTGTAATGTTGAGGTACAGTCCCTGTGCCTCTGTAATGTTGAGGTACAGTCCCTGTGCCTCTGTAATGTTGAGGTACAGTCCCTGTGTCTCTGTAATGTTGAGGTACAGTCCTTGTGCCTCTGCAATGTTGAGGTACAGTCCCTATGCCTCTGTAATGTTGAGGTACAGTCCCTGTGTCTCTGTAATGTTGAGGTACAGTCCCTGTGCCTCTGTAATGTTGAGGTACAGTCCCTGTGCCTCTGTAAAGTTGAGGTACAATCCCTGTGCCTCTGTAATGTTGAGGTACAGTCTCGTCGTCTTGATGCTGTTCCTAGACCACCTTGTAAGTATTGTGTTTCAAGAGGCGCTAAACCAAGCGGCCACCAGGCCCCAGTGGCCTGATGGTTAAAGCTCTCGCTTCACACACGGAGAGCCCGGGTTCGATTCCCCGTGGGGTGAAAACATTTCGACGTGTTTTCTTATACCTGTTGTCCAGTTCACCTAGCAGCAAGTAGGTACCTGGGTGTTGGACTGGTGTGGGTGGCATCCTGGGGAACAAGATTGAGGACCACAATGAAAATAAGACAGACAGTCCTTGATGGCCCACTGACTTTCTTGGGTTATCCGGGTGGCTAACCCTCCGGGGTTAAAAATCCCAACAAAATCTTATGCTCCATTTATTCACCAAGGTTTTTAATGCCATGGTGGCTGCTGGGGATTGTGCCTTAGATAGACCAGCCATCTCAGTTTTTTAAGCACTCGATCATCATCTTGTAACTGGTGTTGCAAGATGATGAACTTGCAACTGAATGTTGTCTTATGATGATCTTGCAACTGAATGTTGTC